GCATCAAAGTTGGTTTGTTGTTTAATACTGCACTCAGCAATATTCCATCTAAATGCTGGCAGTCTGTACATAATCAATTCTGGACCAGACAATCCAGTGATCAACAGCATGAGCATCGATCTACTCAGTTGGGATACGATGACATTCATAAACCAAATCAGCAAGCCTGGCCCTCGATCCTGTTAGTCGCCTCTTGCTAAAGACCTGTTCTAACCCGGATATTCATGGGTTGCATCAGACAATGTTGTGAGGGAACAAAGGGCTAGCTTACTAGTTAAAGTATGAACTTGCACATGGTACTGGGTCTTGATTGATTAGCTTAAGTAAAATGAAAGAATCAAATATTCGTAAGTCGTACATACACTGAGAACACAGATAATGTCTGGTTACAGAGCAGACTCATGGAAACAAGCGTCATTTGTATTTCTATTCCACATTTGCTTGTGGTTATGAAGTCAAGTAATTAAAACCAAATTGTTAAAACTGTTATTTGTTTCAAAATTTTACTCATTCCTGTCTTTTCCTGTCAGCACGTTCCGGTCAACAGCCTCGTGTCTGGACCAGATGAAGGACTGCCGTATCCCTGCTACCCTCAGCACCATGAACAACACCCTGTCTGACCTTGTGAGGGCCATCTGTACATCACCCTCTGAGTCCTCGGACACTGTCTGTCCAGCAAGCGTATGTGAACTGACAGCAGCCCGAGCGTGCTATAAAACATCTGTTCTGACTGTCATCCCATCGGGTGGATCTATCTGTGACAACCTCCGAGTGAGCAGAAGATGCATCTTGTCCAAGACCTCGGGATGCTTCTCCATTCAGGAGGTCGTCATTCTTCAGGATTACAAGATGGTGGCAGCTAGGCTTGGAGCTGGTTGCCAACTTGAGGAGCTGACTATGAAGCAGGACATCTTCACTGACTTCTCAACCTGCCTGGTGACATACTCTAATGTGAGGACACTTGATGTTGATTGTTTTGAATTAGTGATCCATGCTCACAATACCAAACTCTGGCTGTTGTTACCTGTTAGATTATGCTGCTTACAGGTGTTGAGAGGTTGTACAGATTGACTTCAGCTATTGTGTGGTTGTTGAGTGGTTGTGACTTACAGATGTTGAGTGGTTGTACAGATTGACTTCAGCTGTTGAGTGGTTGTGCTGCTTACAGGTGTTGAGTGGTTGTGTTGCTGGGTGTTGAGTGGTTGTTGCTGCTTCAGCTGTTGAGTGGTTGTACAGATTGACTTCAGCTGTTGAGTGGTTGTACAGATTGACTTCAGCTGTTGAGAGGTTGTACAGATTGACTTCAGCTGTTGAGTGGTTGTACAGATTGACTTCAGCTGTTGAGTGGTTGTACAGATTGACTTCAGCTGTTGAGTGGTTGTACAGATTGACTTCAGCTGTTGAGTGGTTGTACAGATTGACTTCAGCTGTTGAGTGGTTGTACAGATTGACTTCAGCTGTTGAGTGGTTGTACAGACTGACTTCAGCTGTTGAGTGGTTGTACAGATTGACTTCAGCTGTTGAGAGGTTGTACAGAACTGACTTCAGCTGTTGAGTGGTTGTACAGATTGACTTCAGCTGTTGAGTGGTTGTACAGATTGACTTCAGCTGTTGAGAGGTTGTACAGATTGACTTCAGCTGTTGAGAGGTTGTACAGATTGACTTCAGCTGTTGAGAGGTTGTACAGACTGACTTCAGCTGTTGAGTGGTTGTGCAAACAGATTTCAACTGTTGTTCTCAGTGAGTGTTGTCACGGCTGTCCTTCTGATCCTTGAGTGCGGTTGTAGGCATTGACAGCAGCCCTCTCCAGCTCGGACATGATTGGGGAGATATGCGCCGCCCATGCTGCCTCCAAGACGTGCACCAGCGGTACCTCCCTCCCCATCCTATCTTCCAACTTCACCAAGTCAGCTGTGAAGACTTTCAACAAGGGACTTGGAGCGTATCTGGAGAACAAATGCAGATCTGATGACAGTCAAACAGGTATTGAAGCTGTCTGTAATCTGTTAAACAATCCCATCACAAACATCCAATGCTTGAAATATGACGGTTTGTTTCCTAGCCCCAACTTCATCTTCCTGCAATATATTGAAGGCCTGTAATTATGCAGTCTGTGTCAGACAATCCAGTGATTGATGTTATTGGCAATAATCTACCTGTGAGGAGACATTGGTAGGGCTGGGACAATACACTATGTCACGATACGATACATATCGTGCTATTTTACCTGTGATATGATACGTATCAGTATCACGATACATGCAACTTATGATATATTTCAAGGTATTTGTGTTTAACAATAACACTATTGTAATAAACAAACAAGTAACTCCATCATTCTTGCGTATTTTTTCTCTAAATAAGTACTGTAACATGTTAAGATAATACTGTTTTGAAAAAAGTTGTGTATCGTTTTGTATGGATACACCAGTCGACGATACGATAGCTGTATCAAACTTAAATGTATCGCAATGCATCGATGCATCGGTGAATCGTCCCAGCCCTAGACATTGGCACACTCTGACACATAGGTCTAATGACACATGCTTGTGACCCCTCTGAGCCAGAACCCCCCTGTTTAATGATCATCAGACAGTTACAACTTGTGACCTGGTAATTGTTAGTCATTGTATCCTGCTTCAGGGATGGTTGTTCATACTACCACCCATCGGTGTGGTTCTGCAGGTTAAATAGCAAGTTGTAAACCTATTCATATTTCTGACAATCATCAAAGACTTCAATGTCTGTTATGCCCTCGATTTTCTGGGAAGTTTACACCTAGTAATTTGAATCAAATGTAGGAGCAGCAAGCTGTTACCAAGGCAACAGATGGTTATTTGTATGTTCTCTGTGTCGTTAGTTGTCCGAAAACGTAGACAGACACCAAACCAGAATGCTTGTGACGAGGAACAGACAACAGAGTGTTTAAAATCGTATCTCCTGGCGTCCTTTGCCATTCCAAGCACATCGTTGTCTGACAGAACAGCAAGATGTCGGTGAGTTTAGAACTCAGGGTCACAGGAAACTTAGTAATGAACTTTGAAATTGGTTGAAACAATACATTATTTTTTGTCAGTCTGTTCCACTTTATCAATGCTATAAACCCTATCAAGAACATTTTGAGGTCCAGACCCTGTGTATCTTGAGGTCCAGACCCTGTGTATCTTCAGGGACAGACCCGGTATATCTTGAGATCTAGACACTGTGTATCTTGAGGCCCCGACCCTGTGTATCTTGAGGTCCAGACCCTGTGTATCTTGAGGTCCAGACCCTGTGTATCTTGAGGTCCAGACCCTGTGTATCTTGAGGTCCAGACCCAGTGTATCTTGAGATCCAGACCCTGTGTATCTTGAGGTCCAGACCCTGTGTATCTTGAGGTCCAGACCCTGTGTATCTTGAGGTCCAGACCCTGTGTATCTTGAGATCCAGACCCTGTGGTCCAGACCCTGTGTATCTTGAGGTCCAGACCCTGTGTATCTTGAGGACCCTGTGTATCTTGAGACCCAGACCCTGTGTATCTTGAGGTCCAGACCCTGTGTATCTTGAGGCCCAGGACCCTGTGTATCTTGAGGTCCAGACCCTGTGTATCTTGAGGCCCAGACCCTGTGTATCTTGAGGCCCAGACCCTGTGTATCTTGAGGTCCAGACCCTGTGTATCTTGAGGCCTTGAGAGACCCAGTGTATCTTGAGGCCCAGACCCTGTGTATCTTGAGGCCCCCCTGTGACCCCCGTGTATCTTGAGGCCCCGACCCTGTGTATCTTGAGGCCCAGACCCCCGTGTGTCTTGAGGCCCAGACCCTGTGTATCTTGAGGCCCAGACCCTGTGTATCTTGAGGCCCGACCCTGTGTATCTTGAGGCCCAGACCCTGCTTGAGGCCCCTGTGTATCTTGACCCTGTCTTGAGGCTGTGTGTATCTTGAGGCCCAGACCCTGTGTATCTTGAGGCCCAGACCCTGTGTATCTTGAGGCCCAGACCCTGTGTATCTTGAGGCCCTGACCCTGTGTATCTTGAGGCCCAGACCCTGTGTATCTTGAGGCCCAGACCCTGTGTATCTTGAGGCCCAGACCCTGTGTATCTTGAGGCCCAGACCCTGTGTATCTTGAGGCCCAGACCCTGTGTATCTTGAGGCCCAGACCCTGTGTATCTTGAGGCCCCAGACCTGTGTATCTTAAGGCCCCGACCCTGTGTATCTTAGACCCCAAGGTATCTTGAGGCCCCGACCCTGTGTATCTATAGACCCCCAGACCCTGTGTATCTTGAGGCCCCGACCCTGTGTATCTATAGACCCCGACCCTGTGTATCTTAAGGCCCCGACCCTGTGTATCTATAGACCCCGACCCTGTGTATCTTGAGGCCCCGACCCTGTGTATCTTGAGGCCCCGACCCTGTGTATCTTAAGGCCCCTACCCTGTGTATCTTGAGGCCCCGACCCTGTGTATCTTGAGGTCCCGACCCTGTGTATCTTGAGGCCCAGACCCTGTGTATCTTGAGGTCCCGACCCTGTGTATCTTGAGGTCCAGACCCTGTGTATCTTGAGGCCCAGACCCTGTGTATCTTGAGGTCCAGACCATGTGTATCTTGAGGTCCCGACCCTGTGTATCTTGAGGCCCCGACCCTGTGTATCTTGAGGCCCCGACCCTGTGTATCTTGAGGCCCAGACCCTGTGTATCTTGAGGCCCCGACCCTGTGTATCTTAAGGCCCAGACCCTGTGTATCTTGAGGCCTCGACCACGTGTATCTTAAGGCCTAGACCATATGCATCTTGAAGCCCAGATCCTGTGTATCTTGAGGCCCCGGCCCTGTGTATCTTAAGGCCCAAACCATATGTATCTTGATGCCCCGACCCTGTGTATCTTGAGGCCCCGGCCATGTGTATCTTAAGGGCCAGACCATATGTATCTTGATGCCCCGACCCTGTGTATCTTGAGGCCCCGGCCATGTGTATCTTTAGGCCCATGCATTCTCAGGTATATATCCTGCATGTTTCCAGGGAGATGGACGGCATGCATCAATGCGTGATAGAATCATCAGAAAGCTGCCCAACTAGGGCAGCAATCATGAGCATGTTGTCAAGTGCCAAGGAGACATTTGATGAATACTGTTACCCCCGACAATACAAGCAGGATGGTTGTGACTTAGAAATGGTGACTAAGTCACTGTCTGGCATCAATCAGCTGGCCACATCTGCAGTAGTTTCCACAGAAGACATGTGCAGGTATGAGTTTGTTTGTTTCTATGTATTGCAAATCTCAGATCACTTCTGCTTCACAATATTGCATGAAATATTACATAAGGGAGATATAGTTGTGACTAAATTGATGTGACCCATGAAGATCCTAGTTAGAATTGTCGTTAGAGGCAACTAACAAGATCGGGTGGTCAGGCTCGCTGGCTTGGTTGACACATGTAGTCGTATCCCAGTTACGCAGATCGATGCTCATGATGTTGATCACTGGATTGTCTGGTGCAGACACGATTGTTTACAGACTGACTCAATTTAGCTGGAATATTGCTGAGTGCGGCGTCAAACAACAACAAACAAAATCAGTGAATGGTTGTTCATGGTGATGGTTATTCTCTCTTCAGCAGTCCTATCCTTCGTGGTTATGTAGCAGTGATGGAATTTCAGGGTTTGATCCCTGGCATTTCATATGGTTGATTTAAAATTAAAATGTATCAATTTCCCAGTTGTATTTTTAGCAATGTCATTATGTTGCGGGTGAGGTCATTTTAATATGTCATAAAATGCAAATAAAAACTATAAAATAATAGTTCATAAAAAAAAGGTTTTAGGTGGTAGTATTTTATAGGTTATTTAGTTCATTTGTGATGAAAGAGTTCATCAATTGTATTGATGACAAAGGTAGCATTTCAAGAGAAATGCATTTGTTCTGAGATCACTGTATATATTTAGCTCTTGGCAAGGTCAAGGTTGTCAGTCAAGGCTCATAGTTCAAGGTTGTGTCATGTCAGGTCATGACACTAGCAATTGTTTATCATGTGATCAGTTATGCTGATTTCTGATTGGTTGATTGGCAAACAATTGGCTCTGCATGTTACACCTGAGCAATTAACCTTCACTTCACATTGGGACACAGAGATTGACAGACGGTAACGTGTATGCCATGTGGTCTTGGGAGGGCGCCGCCATGCGCTTGATAAGCTGTATACCATATATATGGCACTAAATTATCAGTACCGTGCTGGATCATCAGAAAAAAACTCACAACACTCTGAATAAAAGATTGACGCCAGACAGCCATCTTCGTCGTCATTTCGCTTCGGCGAAAAGAGATATATTACCATTATACCCATACCTGTTATGATGAAATGATGCTGACCTGTCACTTGTTTTGCTGCCATTTATTGATGCGATTTTGTGTTTTACATAAATAGGTAAATGCTGAAGTCACAAGATCACTTATAAACTGTCAATGTTACTTAAAATTTCAAGTCGTCTGTACAAAGGCCTAACATTAGAAATTACTACAGAACTTGAGTTAGGAAAATTAAAATCTAGTTTGGGAATATTCATATTGCGCCATTTAATAGCTTTTGAGGAGGAGGATAAATCCTTGTTCTGGGGCCACAAGTGGGCCTGTTTGTCTGTGACTTTTGTTACATTTAATTAAAGCAATGAATGTATACTTTTAGCAGAGCTGATCTTCATCATCTATTAGTTAAAGTTTTGCAAAATATTTTTGGCTAATCAGGGTTTTAAGCGACCAGCAAATATGCATCCAGTACACACTACTGTAGAGAAAGGATGCAAGAAAAACAATCAGAAGGATGCACAATATTATTTATTGTACCCACAACGCATCTATTACTTTGCTAAGTGTTTGGTTGTTTTGTTCAGAGCAGTCATGTGCATTAGTTCATCATCAGTCCATATGATCAAGGCCCGTGAAGATCCGGGGTAGAATAGGTCTTCAGCAACCCATTCTTGTCATAAAAGGCGACTATGCTTGTCGTAAAAGGCTGACTAACGGGATCGGGTGGTCAGGCTCGCTGACTTGGTTGACACATGTCATCGGTTCCCAATTGCGCAGATCGATGCCCATGCTGTTGATCACTGGATTGTCTGGTCCAGACACGATTATTTACAGACCGCCGCCATATAGCTGGAATATTGCTGAGTGCGGCGTAAAACAAAACTCAATCACTCACTCCCATATGATCAATTATTCAGTCCAGGCTCTAAAGAAATGATTAAAACAAACAGTTCTCTACACTGTTACCTCACAGGACATCCCATGTGGCCCGCAAGGACCCTTAAAAGTAATTATTTGGGGTCCCTGGGGCCTCCATGTCTGTCAGTTGAGGTAAATCCCTGCTATACTTACGTTGCAATAATGCTTTTCAGTCATTAGATCAGTAGACCCCTCACAGCCTACCTGTCTCTTTGAGCTGGCGACCTTCACCTTGTAACAACTTGTGGGTAGCATAGTGGTAGAGGTGCTAAAGACCCGGGTTGGAATCCACATGTATAAAATGTGTTAAGCCAATTTGTGATATCCCATACTCTTCATGGAATTATACGAGGAGTTGCATAAAAACAATACTCTCTTTTTCCAGCAATACAAAGAATGCTCTAGGCTGGGTGAAGAAGTTTTCTAGCGACTGCTCGGATACTACCATCGTCTCCAGCTACACCACATACTTCGGTGGTGTTGTCGGCAACACCTGTCCCCGCCTCACCGTCGAGCTGTTCTGCGGCGCCTCTGCTCCCACAAACCGGTCATGTGACTTCAAGATGGCACAGTCTTGTGTCAGCAACATTGATCTGTCCATTGATGCAGAAGCAGACACAGAAAATTTCTGCAGGTATGAAATTGATCATATCATGGCTGCCTGTCTTGTTTCGTATGTTTGGCATCTCTGGTCTTAAATAACTAGGGGTGACTATTGAGGGGGAACCACTATTGCGATAGCGATAGTCTATTGCAACATACTACTGCGATAGCGATAGTCTATTGCAACATACTACTGCGATAGCGATAGTCTATTGCAACATACTACTGCGATAGCGATAGTCTATTGCAACAAACTATTGCGATACCGATAGTCTATTGCAACATACTACTGCGATACCGATAGTCTATTGCAACATACTACTGCGATAGCGATAGTCTATTGCAACATACTACTGCGATACCGATAGTCTATTGCAACATACTATTGCGATACCGATAGTCTATTGCAACATACTACTGCGATAGCGATAGTCTATTGCGACCAACTATTGCAATACTATTGCAATAGTTTGTTTTCTCCTTGAATTGTCTCATTTGAAGTCATTTCCCAAATGAATATATAGTTTATATGGAATAAAAACAAGTTGAAGTTGTTTCAGTCGCTTTTAAAGCTAAGAAACTTGAAGTCTTTTAGTGGCATTTAGAAGTTGTACATAGATGTCCAAAATATTTTTATGGATTAACAACATAAAAAAGAAGTTTAATCCATAAAAATATCTTGTACAAGAAACTTGAAATCCAGATCAAATAAGCAGTTAAAGCATAAATGTATTGTTATTCACAATTTCAAACTCGGAGTCGCATGCTGTGTTTGCCGCCATGTTTAATTATGAGGTACCAGATTTTGGGCTGCACATTTATCAACGGAAGTCAATTACTAAATTATCGATAGTCACACATACTATCAATGCATCGATAGTTTTTCATTTCTACCATCAATTAATTGCTATCGGAGACTCAACAATTGCAATCCATCGATAGTTCGATGCATCATTACAGCACAACAAATAACAATCGGTAAAATTGATATCATGTTTCAGATATAAATGAACAAATTTCCTGTTTCACAAAAACCCTCGTAAATAAAGAGTTCTGTAAAATTGATATCAGGCCACTTTGGTCTGCATGTAAATAAAAAATTCCCTGTTTCACAAAAATGCAGTATCAAGAATTCCCTTGACTGGACATGTATTCTGTTGTATGTCAGTCAGATGAACTAACCTGATCATCTTTTATTTATTTCCAATTCACCAAAGAAATTTCTGAAAATATATATTAGAAATCGTCTCTTCAAATTGACTGTTGTTTGTTCCAGTGGCTTGTTGCAGAATGTTACCTGCACACGCAACAATCTCGATGGATGTTTGTCGTCCGAAATTGCTAAAGTTAGCACTGAAGCTACAGCCAATCGTGACATCATTTTAGCCAAGTCATGTAGCATTGATGCTGAACTGTTGGACTTTGGTGGCGTATGTACTGCTCGGCCAGTATGTTCACTTTCTGGCGCCTACCGATGTCTGGAAGATCTGCTCACCCAGAACTATGCCCTCAGTGATTGCACGTAAGTTGGCGAAGTTCTTTAACAATCTAAGTTCGACTTGAAATGGTATCAGTGCCCTGGCCCCGATTTCTCGAAACAAACTTAAGTCTGAGTTTTGACTTAAGTTCGAATTTTTACTCAAATTTGAGAAAACGCATTTCCCAGAATGAACTGAAATCAATATTAAACTCAAACATAGTAGACAATTTGAGTTTGGTGAATAGAATACTTAAGTTGTTTGGGCTTTTATTATTTAAAAAATGCAGCTGAGTTCAAAATTCAGCTGTTTCAAATTGTCAAACTCAGTTTGAATTTGAGTAAAAACTTAAGTTTGTTTTGAGAAATCGGGGCCTGGTCCACAAAACGTTCAAGACTGTTTGTGTTGAAATATATTACAATAGTGCAAAGGTCCATTTTGACATTTGTAGATTAGTAAGTCATTATTTCACTTATGCTTAAAATTTGAGTGGTAGGGTAGTGGTTAAAGCATTCATCATTACTGCGAAGACCCGGTTCCATTCCCCACATGGGTACAATGTGTGAAGCCCATTCCTGGTGTCCCCGCCATCATATTGCTGGAATATTGCCAACTCACTCACTCACTATACTTACAATTGTGACTTTTGGATTTGATCTCTTAAATTAGAAATTAGAAATATAAGTTTAGCCACACCTGTTCATAGCATCCGGTCAGCAAAGAGGAACTGCATGGCAACACATCTCCAGGGATGCAACCAAATCCAGATCTCCCTAGCAACGGCCATGTTTAACATCCTTCTACCGCCATCAACCACCTGTCCTGCAGTCGTTCTAGCAACCAGCCCCTTCAGTTCATCAGGCAGCACATCTCAGCAGGTGAGCAGACAGAATTAACATCAGTTCCCATCGTCACATAAGTGAGGTCTTGTATATGTTCAATGTGTGAAGCCTATTTCTGGTGTTCCCTGCATCAATATTGCTGGAATATTGCTAAAAGCGACATAGAACTAAACTCACTCACTTGTATGTGTGTAGTACTTCTTGCAATCTTAATTCACTTGATGAACAAAAATGCAACATATCATCATCATCATCATCATCATCATCAGGTAATGTATTACAAGTACACATGATACAGCTTCTTCATGTATTTATAACAGACTGTTATGGAAAATAAGGATCAAATTAGGCTACTGACACCACCACCACCAACATGTGTGACCCTTGAGATATCAATGTTTCATATTTTAAGTTTAGGCTACTGACACCACCACCACCAACATGTGTGCCCCTTGAGATATCAATGTTTCATGTTTTCAGTTTAGCTCCTGATTCGTACTTGTCACATGCAACTAAAGCTTCACCAAGATATATATATATTTTTTTTCAAGAACAGTAAGCTTTCCCAGCATTTCGTACACAGCCAGAACCTCAGAATATCCTTTCTAGAGTTGTACATTATTTCTGTTTTGACTTCAGGAAAAGGTCACGTGTTTGACAGACCTGCTTACTTCCCTTGCTGCCTTCTCTGAAGAGTCAACACTAGCTCCCCGGCATGACCTGTGTCGTGTCTTGAGTGACTATACAGATGGTTGTGGAAGAAATGTTACAATCAATGTCGTGAAAGAGTTTGTTGAGACCAACTGTACTGATGGTAAGTTGAACAGGCAATGTTTAGTATGTGCCTCTGTCACCATGTGTGCTGTATGCCATTGTGGGCAGAGAATGTAGATTTAGTGGGTACAGTACGTTACAGTGTGGTTCTCTGCCATCTTTCGTATCTCATGTAGATTTAGTGGGTACAGTATGTTATGCCATTCATATCATGTAGATTTAGTGGGTACAGTACGTTACAGTGTGGTCTGCCATTCGTATCATGTAGATTTCGTGGGTACAGTATGTTACAGTGTGGTTGTCTGCCATTCGTATAATGTAGATTTAGTGGGTACAGTATGTTACAGTGTGGTTCTCTGCCATCATTCGTATCTCATGTAGATTTAGTGGGTACAGTACGTTACAGTGTGGTCTGCCATTCGTATCTCATGTAGATTTAGTGGGTACAGTATGTTACGCCATTCGTATCATGTAGATTTAGTGGGTACAGTACGTTACAGTGTGGTCTGCCATTCGTATCATGTAGATTTAGTGGGTACAGTATGTTACAGTGTGGTCTGCCATTCGTATCTCATGTAGATTTAGTGGGTACAGTATGTTACCATTCGCCATTAATATCATGTAGATTTAGTGGGTACAGCAATGCGTTACAGTGTGGTCTGCCATTCATTATCATCATGTAGATTTAGTGGGTACAGTGCGTTACAGTGTGGTGGTCTGCCATTCAGTATCTCATGTAGATTTAGTGGGTACAGTATGTTACAGCGTGGTCTGCCATTCATATCTCATGTAGATTTAGTGGGTACAGTATGTTACAGCGTGGTCTGCCATTCATATCTCGGAATGTAGATTTAGTGGGTACAGTACGTTACAGTGTGGTCTGCCATTCAAGATCTCATGTAGATTTAGTGGGTACAGTATGTTACAGCGTGGTCTGCCATTCGTATCTCATGTAGATTTAGTGGGTACAGTATGTTACAGCTTGGTCTGCCATTCATATCTCATGTAGATTTAGTGGGTACAGTATGTTACAGCGTGGTCTGCCATTCATATCTCATGTAGATTTAGTGGGTACAGTATGTTACAGTGTGGTCTGCCATTCATATCTCATGTAGATTTAGTGGGTACAGTATGTTACAGCGTGGTCTGCCATTCATATCTCATGTAGATTTAGTGGGTACAGTATGTTACAGCGTGGTCTGCCATTCATATCTCATGTAGATTTAGTGGGTGCAGTATGTTACAGCGTGGTCTGCCATTCGTATCTCATGTAGATTTAGTGGGTACAGTATGTTACAGTGTGGTCTGCCATTCGTATCTCATGTAGATTTAGTGGGTACAGTACGTTACAGTGTGGTTCTCTGCCATCATTCGTATCTCATGTAGATTTAGTGGGTACAGTATGTTACAGTGTGGTCTGCCATTCGTATCATGTAGATTTAGTGGGTACAGTACGTTACAGTGTGGTTCTCTGCCATCATTAATATCTCATGTAGATTTAGTGGGTACAGTATGTTACAGCGTGGTCTGCCATTCGTATCATGTAGATTTAGTGGGTACAGTACGTTACAGTGTGGTTCTCTGCCATCATTCGTATCTCATGTAGATTTAGTGGGTACAGTATGTTACAGCGTGGTCTGCCATTCGGATATCATGTAGATTTAGTGGGTACAGTACGTTACAGTGTGGTTCTCTGCCATCATTGGTATCTCATGTAGATTTAGTGGGTACAGTATGTTACAGCGTGGTCTGCCATTCGTATCTCATGTAGATTTAGTGGGTACAGTATGTTACAGTGTGGTCTGCCATTCGTATCTCATGTAGATTTAGTGGGTACAGTATGTTACAGTGTGGTTCTCTGCCATCATTCGTATCTCATGTAGATTTAGTGGGTACAGTATGTTACAGTGTGGTCTGCCATTCGTATCTCATGTAGATTTAGTGGGTACAGTATGTTACAGTGTGGTTCTCTGCCATCATTCATATCTCATGTAGATTTAGTGGGTACAGTATGTTACAGTGTGGTCTGCCATTCGTATCTCATGTAGATTTAGTGGGTACAGTACGTTACAGCGTGGTCTGCCATTCGTATCTCATGTAGATTTAGTGGGTACAGTATGTTACAGTGTGGTCTGCCATTCATATCTCATGTAGATTTAGTGGGTACAGTACGTTACAGCGTGGTCTGCCATTCGTATCTCATGTAGATTTAGTGGGTACAGTACGTTACAGTGTGGTTCTCTGCCATCATTCGTATCTCATGTAGATTTAGTGGGTACAGCACGTTACAGCGTGGTCTGCCATTAAGTATCTCATGTAGATTTAGTGGGTACAGTATGTTACAGTGTGGTTCTCTGCCATCATTCAGTATCTCATGTAGATTTAGTGGGTACAGTATGTTACAGTGTGGTCTGCCATTCAGTATCTCATGTAGATTTAGTGGGTACAGTGCGTTACAGCGTGGTCTGCCATTCAATTATCTCATGTAGATTTAGTGGGTACAGTATGTTACAGTGTGGTCTGCCATTCATATCTCATGTAGATTTAGTGGGTACAGTATGCGTTACAGCGTGGTCTGCCATTCATTATCTCATGTAGATTTAGTGGGTACAGTGCGTTACAGTGTGGTCTGCCATTCGTTATCTCATGTAGATTTAGTGGGTACAGTATGTTACAGTGTGGTCTGCCATTCATATCTCATGTAGATTTAGTGGGTACAGTGCGTTACAGTGTGGTCTGCCATTCAGTATCTCATGTAGATTTAGTGGGTACAGTACGTTACAGTGTGGTCTGCCATTCATTATCTCATGTAGATTTAGTGGGTACAGTATGTTACAGTGTGGTCTGCCATTCATATCTCATGTAGATTTAGTGGGTACAGTATGTTACAGTGTGGTCTGCCATTCGTATCTCATGTAGATTTAGTGGGTACAGTACGTTACAGTGTGGTCTGCCATTCATATCTCATGTAGATTTAGTGGGTACAGTATGTTACAGCGTGGTCTGCCATTCGTATCTCATGTAGATTTAGTGGGTACAGTATGTTACAGTGTGGTCTGCCATTCGTATCTCATGTAGATTTAGTGGGTACAGTATGTTACAGTGTGGTTCTCTGCCATCATTCGTATCTCATGTAGATTTAGTGGGTACAGTATGTTACAGTGTGGTTCTCTGCCATCATTCATATCTCATGTAGATTTAGTGGGTACAGTATGTTACAGCGTGGTCTGCCATTCATATCTCATGTAGATTTAGTGGGTACAGTATGTTACAGTGTGGTCTGCCATTCATATCTCATGTAGATTTAGTGGGTACAGTATGTTACAGCGTGGTCTGCCATTCATATCTCATGTAGATTTAGTGGGTACAGTACGTTACAGTGTGGTCTGCCATTCGTATCTCATGTAGATTTAGTGGGTACAGTATGTTACAGCGTGGTCTGCCATTCATATCTCATGTAGATTTAGTGGGTACAGTACGTTACAGTGTGGTCTGCCATTCATATCTCATGTAGATTTAGTGGGTACAGTATGTTACAGTGTGGTCTGCCATTCGTATCTCATGTAGATTTAGTGGGTACAGTATGTTACAGTGTGGTCTGCCATTCGTATCTCATGTAGATTTAGTGGGTACAGTACGTTACAGTGTGGTCTGCCATTCGTATCTCATGTAGATTTAGTGGGTACAGTATGTTACAGTGTGGTTCTCTGCCATCATTCGTATCTCATGTAGATTTAGTGGGTACAGTATGTTACAGCGTGGTCTGCCATTCGTATCTCATGTAGATTTAGTGGGTACAGTATGTTACAGTGTGGTTCTCTGCCATCATTCGTATCTCATGTAGATTTAGTGGGTACAGTACGTTACAGTGTGGTCTGCCATTCGTATCTCATGTAGATTTAGTGGGTACAGTACGTTACAGTGTGGTTCTCTGCCATCATTCGTATCTCATGTAGATTTAGTGGGTACAGTACGTTACAGTGTGGTCTGCCATTCGTTATCATGTAGATTTAGTGGGTACAGTATGTTACAGTGTGGTTCTCTGCCATCATTCGTATCTCATGTAGATTTAGTGGGTACAGTATGTTACAGCGTGGTCTGCCATTCGTATCTCATGTAGATTTAGTGGGTACAGTACGTTACAGTGTGGTTCTCTGCCATCATTCGTATCTCATGTAGATTTAGTGGGTACAGTATGTTACAGCGTGGTCTGCCATTCGTATCATGTAGATTTAGTGGGTACAGTACGTTACAGTGTGGTTCTCTGCCATCATTCGTATCTCATGTAGATTTAGTGGGTACAGTATGTTACAGCGTGGTCTGCCATTCGTATCATGTAGATTTAGTGGGTAAAGTACGTTACAGTGTGGTTCTCTGCCATCATTCGTATCTCATGTAGATTTAGTGGGTACAGTATGTTACAGCGTGGTCTGCCATTCGTATCTCATGTAGATTTAGTGGGTACAGTATGTTACAGTGTGGTCTGCCATTCGTATCTCATGTAGATTTAGTGGGTACAGTATGTTACAGCGTGGTCTGCCATTCGTATCTCATGTAGATTTAATGGGTACAGTATGTTACAGCGTGGTCTGCCATTCGTATCTCATGTAGATTTAGTGGGTACAGTACGTTACAGTGTGGTCTGCCATTCGTATCTCATGTAGATTTAGTGGGTACAGTATGTTACAGTGTGGTCTGCCATTCATATCTCATGTAGATTTAGTGGGTACAGTATGTTACAGTGTGGTCTGCCATTCGTATCTCATGTAGATTTAGTGGGTACAGTATGTTACAGTGTGGTCTGCCATTCCTATCTCATGTAGATTTAGTGGGTACAGTATGTTACAGCGTGGTCTGCCATTCATATCTCATGTAGATTTAGTGGGTACAGTATGTTACAGTGTGGTCTGCCATTCATATCTCATGTAGATTTAGTGGGTACAGTAATGTTACAGTGTGGTCTGCCATTCATATCTCATGTAGATTTAGTGGGTACAGTACGTTACAGTGTGGTCTGCCATTCATATCTCATGTAGATTTAGTGGGTACAGTATGTTACAGCGTGGTCTGCCATTCGTATCTCATGTAGATTTAGTGGGTACAGTATGTTACAGTGTGGTCTGCCATTCATATCTCATGTAGATTTAGTGGGTACAGTATGTTACAGCGTGGTCTGCCATTCATATCTCATGTAGATTTAGTGGGTACAGTATGTTACAGTGTGGTCTGCCATTCGTATCTCATGTAGATTTAGTGGGTACAGTACGTTACAGTGTGGTCTGCCATTCGTATCTCATGTAGATTTAGTGGGTACAGTACGTTACAGTGTGGTCTGCCATTCGTATCTCATGTAGATTTAGTGGGTACAGTATGTTACAGTGTGGTCTGCCATTCGTATCTCATGTAGATTTAGTGGGTACAGTATGTTACAGTGTGGTCTGCCATTCGTATCTCATGTAGATTTAGTGGGTACAGTACGTTACAGTGTGGTCTGCCATTCCGTATCATGTAGATTTAGTGGGTACAGTATGTTACCTGGAAGGTTGTGTGTCATCTAGTCGAGTTTAATGTGGATTGGGTGAGAATGTATGTAACCTGGGTGATGTTGTGCCTTCATGATGTGGAGTGCTATTAACCAGTGTCTGGTCCAGACTTGATTATTTTCGTGTGGCAATGAACTAGCTGGATTATTGTGACTGCATAGGCGGATCCAGTGGGGGGGATGCACGCACACACACACACACACACGCATGCACACATGCACACATGCACACACACGCCCTTTTGTCCTGAAAGTTTATTAAATGACCATTGAAAACGGGTGAAAATGAAGTGTGCACCCCCTCTTTCTCAAAAGCTGTATCCGCCCCTGGACGGTCTTAGTGCTAGCTACCGGTACTCAACAATGTGAGGACATCCCATTACACAATGACTTTCCATCCAACTTATCTGAGCATTGCTAGTGAGATAGTTAAGGACTCATTCCATCGTTGTCCATCTTCCACTTCAGACTGATATACCTATTTTAACCTAACCAACTTTCAGAAGACCATGGGAAGTGTTGCCAAACAATCTTGGAATTCCAAAATATCGTTTATTCAATTTTGAAGTTTAGAAGCATGAATGTTTTCAATAAGTTTTCCCAAGAGGAGTCTAAAATGAAAGCAGTATTTTGGAACTAGTGCAGTTAACTGGGGTGCAGTGGGGTAGCCTAGTGGTTACAGCATTAGATCGTCAGGCCAAAGATCTGGGTTTGAATCCCAACATGGGTACAATATGTGAAGTCCATTTCTAGTGTCCCCTGCCATGATATTGCTGGAATATTGCTAATAGCGGCTTAAAGCTAAACTCACTCACTGAAACTTGCAGCTCGAGAAAGCTTCTTTCTGATTGGATAATGCAACTTCCTTCAATTCATTTCATTGGTTGGTTGACATTCATGAAAGGTTGCCTCCGTGATATTGCCGGAATATTGCTAAAAGCGGCGTAAAACCCAACTTACTCACTCACTCATGAAAGGTTGTTTTGACCTGACCTTTAATGGGATGTCCTCGGACCTGTTCGCTGTGGTAGCGAGCACTCAGGAGTATACAGCCATAGCTCGCAGTCAGAGGCTCTGTAGGATTTGTTTGGACAATATATTTGATACTGGGTACGAACTGGTTGCTGGATTTATTCAGAAATTATTCATAATCATATGTTCTTGTGCTGAAATATATTGACGGGTGTCTTCGGAGTCATAGAATATGTTAATACAGTGTTGCTATGACAACTATCAAATATGATTGCAGTTGTGGAGTGTCAAGCTGGAGAGAGTTTCTGCAGTGATGGCAGCTGCTATCCCACCAGCGGCAGATGTAACAGCACCGCTGAATGCAGTGATGGGTCAGATGAGGTGGACTGTGGTGAGTCTTGCTCCGTCTTTCTTTTCATACGTTCAGCGTACATCATGTCAGATGTTTTGTCAGAATATGTGCCGAGCTCTCCACACCTGTCCCTGCAAGGAGATTCAGTGTCAGAATATGTCTGCAGCTCTCCACACCTGTCCCTGTGTGGAGATTCAGTGTCAGAGGTTGAGCCTTGTCTGTTTAAAACATGACTGTATCTTTCTGGGATGTCCGTGCTCACATTGATCCACTGAATTCTGTTTCTCCATGGTTGAACTATTGCTGCTGCCATGTTAAATTCACTCTCTTCTGATGGATCTATATTTAGAAATTAGCTGTGTTGGGATATCCCTTCTATTTCTCCACCAGTAGTAAGGACTCATAAATACATGTACTAAGTGAATATGTTATAGACATCAGACATCAATTCAAACACTGGTAATCTATCTCCAGGTGTGGTAAGAGATACAGCTTGTCAAACCAGAGAGGGATCATTCTGCGTGATGAAACAACTAAGTTCAGCCATAATGAGCAAATTCCTGTCTGTCGGGGACAAAAAGGCCATGTGCAGGTAAGTTCCCAAATACCTCTGCCATGTCAGAACTTGGATGACCTTACCAGTTCTTGAAAGGCATTTAGAAGTTGGACAAGTATGAACACATGATATAAAACATGTCATCTATTCACCTACCAGTGGATATTTGAAGAAAATTTAATGATGTAAATTAGGGACTGTTCATAATTTATGGCTTAGGGGGATTTTGATGATGATGATGATGTGTGTGTGTGTGTGTATTGTACACATGTACCATTTTGATCTGAAGAGGTAGGGAGGGTCACCAATTTTGTACACAAATATAAGAAAAATATGATTATAATTTTGTACGGGAGGGGGGTAGGGGGGTTGGGGGGCATTTATTTTGTACATGACATGCAAGGGGGGTTCACATATTTTGTACATAAATTTAAGGGGGTTCATTCACATTGTTCATGCCTTTCCATGAAAATCATCATCACCCCCTAGCCATAAATTATGAATGGTCCCTTAATGGTCAATTCAAATTAGATTGAGATAGAGTGAGGTTAATGACACAAGAATTTAGGTTATTATTATGTTTTTGTGTTTGCCTGTCAACATGTTAAAATAATTTTGGGTGGCCTTCATAATGAAATTGATCTGCTTTGATTAAAATATCATCTAAGACACTGATAAATACTCACTCATGATACAGATACAGCAGTTCTGTATTTAGGATGACAACATCCTCTATACATCTCTCGCGATTACAAGCTCTGACTTTCATCAACATTTAACCGACCAATCGAATGGCAAGATATGGAAAACAGAAGTAGATGCATTGGACATCCTTTCTACCAAAAAGATTTTTTAGTCTTTCTTTCGAGTGTCAGACAATTTTAATGTTGAATTTATCCCAAACTGTATTGTAATCAATAGGACCGCCATGTTGTTACCAATGAAGATCCGGATTTATAATTTAGGGGTAACGCTTTTTTTCAGGGCATTATCACTTGCAGAAGTCCTAGGTCTTAAATTAACTGCCCTTAGGTTGACAGAACAAGACAATACCACTGTGACGTCATCTGACAACAGAACTGATAATGGCCCATCGTTAAGGAATCAGCAGGCCATTATCATTTGCAGCGGCCCGCTCATTTTGGATAACTAAAGGGCGGTTCCATGATGATTCCATCCATTTTAGCTAGAATATTTCAGAATTCCAGATAATTCTTCAGCAACCCATGCATGCCGTAACAGGTGACTCATTGTTATTCATATATTTCAAGAATGTTTTGGTCTTTCAGCCAAAGTGTAAAGACCTCCCAATGCATCCAGGCCAGAACTAACACATGCCCCAGAACGGTGAAGGCAGTGTTCCAGCAGACGTTGACCGTATCGGAAGCCCTCATAAAATCCCAGGGGACATGTGCTCCGCCACAGATGTGTATTGAAGAACACACATTTCGCCTGCATCAACCAGCTCGCCGTGGTTGTAGCTCAGACGGACATTACCACAGGAACCAAGGACGTCCTTTGCAAGTAGGTGTCACGATACTGTGCCTGCTTTACGTATGCATGCTTCTTTACTTGAAGATTTATCTCTCTTGACTAGTCATCAACCCATGAAGTTCCGGGTTAGAATTGGTCTTCAGCAACTCATGCTTGTCGTACTTAGTGACTAACGGGATCGGATGGTCAGACTCGCTGACTTGGTTTACACACGTCATCATATCCCAATTGCTTAGATCGATGCTTGTGCTGTGATTATTTACAGACCGCCGCCATATAGCTGGAACATAGCTGAGTGTGGGGTTAAAATCAACAACCAACCAACCAGTCATGATATGGCTGAAATATTGCTGATATGGTGTAAACTTTAACTAACTTCAGTCTCTTTTGACCATCGGTGCAGAGATGGATGAGCCTATCATAAAAAAACCCGTACATGATAAGTACTTGACTTGATTGTATCTCTGTAAAGAAGTGAACTGAGTTTCTTGAAATTGATGCTTGTCCCCTGGCTGGAGACTGCAAAAATGTGCTGAGGACAAGTGAAAAACTATTTATGGTACTTCTCACTGATTAGCAGCATTTGAGGGCTACAATTAAGGGACTCGTTCCACAAAGCGATCGTAGCGCTACGACTTTCGTATAAATTCTATGTTAAAGTATGGGAGTTACAATTGTCTTAGGGTAATAATCGCTTTGAGGAATGGAGCCGTAACAACTTGTGAATTATTCAGTTTTTTATACAACTATTACTATAAACCGAGTAAACAGTAGCAGTAAACAGTTGTATACACTACTATACACTAGTACACTGGATCAGTCTGAGCAGAGTAAATTTCAAGGGTTTATTTGGTATCCATTCTATTCTCAGTAGACTTTGGCTGTAGATTTTCTCATGAGAGAGTTTACCTATTTGTGTGTAGCAGGGTGGTAAGCATTGGAGACAGAAGATCACTTCCCGACATTGGTATCTTGTGTTAAGTGCATTGTTTGTGGTTCTTATAGGCTGAGGGGAAGGTCAAGGTCAAACCAGTCAAGTGTGGGGCCTTAACTCATATAGTGTTATCCCCCTGCCGTTGTACAAAGCAACTTTAGTGCTATGACAGTCATAAGTCTATGTTAAAGGCACACGATCATGCCACACTTCTCTAAAAATCAATATTGCATTTCTCTCATTAGTTCTAACTATCAGCTCCCAGCGAAGCAACCATATAATTTATTCTGAAAAAAATTATTATTCGGCAATTATTTGTCGCTACATCATGGTATTTTGAAACAAGTTTCACATGTTGGCAAAACAGGCATAAGAAGCAATAATCTCCTGGCGGTAACAAACAACACCAGGGAACATTTGTTTCTTGTGCCCATTTTGCCAACATGTGAAACTTGTTTCAAAATACCATTTTGCCACTACGAGATAACCTGTAGTTGCACATTCGGCCAGAATTGATACTATGAGTATACTCATGATAGGCAGTCAACGTGTTAAGATTACAATATGAAATTAAAAAAGTTTGAATGAATTAATGCAACATTGCATTAAATCGACTCTGACTCCCTCTACCGACCGAACTTTATTTCAAGCAAACACCATAGAGTTATGTCACTTAGAACGCTCTTTACGAATATCCTACAACGCAACTTGTGATTGAGGCCAGTTCGGCAAACACCGACAACACCGCGTGCAACAGTTTTCTATGTACGGAGCAATCTATACATTCCATATATGGCAAGTGTTATCTGTTTGGAAGCTATTCACCTCGAAGTTTCAATTATCGATTTCAGGCAAGTTGTAAGGGATAATAAGTCTTTTATTGTATCAATAGGAAGCTAAAGTGAGTACATATGCCACAATATATATATAAAAGACAAAAATCTTGTCAAATAAGCATGACATTGTGCATTTAAGTTTTGGAGTTACGGTCACCTTAGCGCTAAGATCTCTTTGTACAACAGCACCCTGGCTTTTGATACAGTGAGATGTTGTTGATGCCACCCATAATGTTTAGTTTCTGGAGCAGATCTTGAAAAATGTATAAAATTCTTTCACCACACTTGGACCATGGATATGTACGGTTGCCTTATGATAGTGTGGGAGTATTGGAGAATGTATTGAGTTTCCGTGGCAACAGCTTCGGTGGTAGTGCTTTTTTCAGGAACAGATCTTAAAAGCTGTGAAATAGTTCCTCAAAACCTCAGTATATGGATATAGGTTTAGTGCCATTTGATAGTTTGGGATTTTTTTTTTATGTATTTTTTCAATTTTTCATTGAAACAGCTTCAACTTAGGCTGGAAATAGTGATTGTGCTTTACAGAAGTTCCAAGTTTCTTGGTATAATGTTTTGAAATGTATGAAAGAATTTGTTCTGAGTGACAGTTGTTAAGAAGAAAGAGCATGTTCTGCAGAGCAAAGCTTCATATGGCAAATATCAACAAAACTTTATGAAAGCTTAGAACACAGTCACATTAGGTGCAGGGGCGGTTGGCTAGCAAGCGCTGGCTCGTCACGCCGAAGACCCGGGTTCGATTCCCCACATGGGTACAATGTGTGAAGCCCATTTCTAGTGTCCCCCGCCATGATGTTGCTGGAATATTGCTAAAAGCAGCGTAAATCCAAACTCAGTCAGTGAGTCAGTTAGTCACATTAGATGCATAAAAATTAAAAGACATAAAGGTCAGGTTGTATTTATCCAGAATTATTCTTTCAACTTATTCACTTTGTGGAATAGTGTTAAACAGTGTTATGAGAGTCAAGACCTTCAGTGACTAGGGACCTCATTTGATAGAGACATGGTAAAGTGGCGCCACCCTGGGTCTGGATCCACAAGACGTTTGTAACGTCACGACCTGTCACAACTCTACACTTCATCATAAGCTTATGAATGTCAGTGTAACAAACGTTTTGTGGATAGGGTGCAATCCATTGCAGTCACATCTCCTGTGGAGGTGGAAATTATAAGCTCATTATGTTCATGCATGTGGGTAATAACATTTATTCTGTAATTCCAGTCAGTTCCTTAAGACCAAATCATGCGTGGAGCAGTTTAGTGCCACCTGTACAGAAGGTCCGTTGGGACGGATCATGAGTCAATACAACTCGGTCATCGCCCTCATCGACGGAAAGTGTGATAACTACACAGAGCCAGAGGAGGAGCCGGAGATGCTGTGCCCTGACATCGCCCCAGAAGACAGGAAGTGTGAAGTCTTCACTGCTTTCAACTGCCTCCTTGGTTCCTACACCAACCTCATCAACTACAACCCCCGGAACAACCTAGAGAACAGCAAGTCGTGCTTGTAAGATTTTCAGTTTGATGTTTTCCAGTGTGTAGGAATTAAAGTGTCAAGATCTCCTCCAGACAGAAAGTAGATCTTGTTTCCAGTGTGTAAGGGACATCTGTTAAAATCCTTTTAGGCCTCAGATCTAACCTCCTTCATAAGCTTCAAAAGATCCAAAATGCTTCCGCCCACATCATATTCCCATCTTACACCCGTGTTGGAAGAACTGCAATGGCTACCAGTTAGGGCCAGAATTGACTTTTAAGATCCTCTGTCTGACATACAAGTGCCTCCATGGTTTGGCTCCCTCCTACTTGCCTGAGTTCCTACATTCGTATGTCCCTGCACACAACTTGCGCTGAAACACACAAAATCTACAGGTCATCCCATTCTACAAACTGAAATCCTTTGTGTAGCAACCATTCTCTTACTCTGTACCTGTGCTTTGGAACTCTCTCCCCTGTGCCATTAAAACCTCCGACACAATTGACATTTTTTAAGTCCAGATTTAAACCCCACCTTTTCTCAGCATATTACTTATAATTTCAACTGTAAATACTCCAGTGTAAATATTCTTTAGCGCTTTGAGCATGCCTTAGGGTGTGGAATAGGCGCATTATAAATATGCATTTATTATTATGTTAAATTGTCTTGAACAATATTCCTATTATATCATGGCCAATATTCCTTTTATATCATGGCTAATATTGACCTGTTATATCATGGCCAATATTCCTGTTATATCATGACCTGTCAGCTTTGTGTGTGAGGAGAGCCAAAAGTGAAGCAGGTATCTGATATCTACCACATTGTTGAAACCCAAGCATTGGCATGGTGCTGAAACTAGAAACAATATTCGGGGTTGAAAAAAGGTTTGAGCCAACAATATTACATTTCAAACTTGCCCCATTGATGCAATCCTGCACAGCAAAATTGGTCAACCATGCCCATTTTTTTCAAATTTGAATTTGTGAACTATAAAACATTCAACACCAAAATGGTGGAATGTGTCTTCCTTTCAGTGCTCTCCAGTCCACAATCCGCTGCGTGGCATCCAACATCTCCGGTTGTAAAGAGGATGATGCTGCTGAAGTCATCAAGTCTCTCAACAACCTTCGGGACAGTGTCAAGGATCGCTGTATGCTGTATGACACCAGTCTGTGTGGTAACCCCCAACCTTGCCCTGTAGGTGGCGCTGGCTGTGTGAAGACATTCAAGACGGAGTTATCCTCCCACCCAGAGAAGGATGTCTGCGAGTGAGTGAATGCCATACTCTTTAAACATGTAACAGTATCATTATAACAATATGTTTGTTTTGGAATGCGTTATTACAGAATAACTTTGTATGATTATCAGTATTGATACTATGGACAGAGTGACTTGTCCCTGAATGGACATGTTTCATGCTGGACTGCCATCGGGCTAAGGACAATCAAGTGTTGTGGACCTTTGTAAACTGCCTTCAGGCTATGGACAGTTGGTGATTCTTCAATAGTAAAATCAATCATGACGCTCTCAGTGAAATGCCACTGATTTACCCTGAGGTTGTTCCAGGTTTGAATAAGTCCCCACTAAGCTTTGCTTGTCATAAAGAGGCAGTCTAAAGTAATGGGTGGTCACTTCAGGTGACTTGGTCGACACCATGGCAGCATACCCTGACTGCATGGATGATTCTTGTTGCCTAGATTTGATGATTTACCCATCATCTTATAGCCAGCATATTGATGAGCATGCCCTTTAAGGTGTTCTATCATTTCAGGCTTATCACCACTGCACGAACTTGCATCTCCGACAACACTGTTGACTGCTCCCGCAGTCTTGGGCCATCGCTGACTACAGCCTGAAGAATGCCATCAAGGACATGAAGACGCAGGTCCGCTGTGATGGCAACAGCGCTGACTCCTGCATCCTGACCTACCAGGCCCAGGCGTACAGGATCCTCACCTACCATGAGACGACGACGCCAACCGTGTCCCTCGCAGACCTGTGCAATGCTGTGGAGATCACGACGATGTGTATAAATGATAAACTGGGCACCACACGTGTGGGAGAAGGCATGGACACTATTGTCAGTCGGCTTTGGAGACACCTTAATGCCAGTGTTATGGAAGTTTGTGATGGTGGGTTTTTGTCTTTGTTGTTGGGGAAGCGGGCTTACTTTTCAATAATGCCCGCGGGTCATGTTATATCCAACACTTAGCAAATGAAGTCTTGTCAATGAAGCTTAACGTTATAAGTAACAGTTAACAAGCAGTTATATTCCCCCTCTATACTGCTGTTGTCTATACATAATTTGCCAAAAATACAAGATAAAACAGCCTGTCATGTCAAATTTGAGCTGATATAAAGGATTAGCAAAAGATTGATCTGAAAGGTTGTCAGGGGCAGTTATTTTGTGTGGTTTGGTTTGGTTGTTGTTTAACGCCGCACTCAGCAGTATTCCAGCTATATGACGGCGGTCTGTAAATAATCGAGTCTGGGCCAGACAATCCAGTGACGTGTGGAATGTCAGGGAGGAGGTTAATCAAGAAAATAAGAAAGGCGTTATCGGTTGACTATTGTCGATATTGTTTCTACAGGCACTGCCCCCACCTGTCCTCTGGGAGTTCAAGCGAATGTCGTGCTCAGCCTGCTGGTGAAGCTGACCACTAACCCCATCTACACAAAGCAGGCTTTCTGCAGGTAGGTACACAGTCCTGTCCTCAAGTACCATACGGTAGTCTAGGTGTTTCCTCTGTACAAGACACAAGTAAGCCCAACACTGAAACTATTGTTATAGTGAGTGAGTGGTTTAACGCCATTTTTAGCAATATTCTAGCAACATCACAGCAGGGGACACCAGACATCTCCTTCACACATGTACCCGTGCGGGGGAATCGAACCCAGGCCTTCGGCATGATCAGTGAACACTTTGACTACTTGGCTACCCCACCGCCCCCTATTGTTATATGTCTCCTGAGATGTAAGACTTTGTATTACATGTTTACCCAGTCTGTTCCCCCAGCAGTGAGTGGGTACCCTGCAGAAAGACACAATGACCTCCTTGCTCCTCACTTGGGTTGTATACTGCTCAGGGAGCTGAGAATGGAATTTGACAGCATCCTGATCCTTTGACTTGGGCATTAATGTTAAACTTGAGAGTGTGTTTTCAGCGTATTATACATTTGTACATGATTAATAATTTGTATACTTGATTGCCACAAGGGACACTGTAAAACCCAGGTTGGGAACTATTAATGTCAAACTGTGGCCAAGAGTATGTTTATTATCATCATTACAGGCTGCTATATGCAATTATATTATCATGTTAGTAGCATAGCCGATGGGCTTATGGAAATCAAGGGTTGCCATGGTTTCTGTGTTTGTCATGGGACGCCATGGGGATTTCATGTCAGAATCATGAACAACTTTGGTTTGCTTGTTGTTTTACGCCGCTCTGAGCAATATTCCAGCTATATGACAGCGGTCTGTAAATAATCCAGTTTGGTCCAGACAATCAAGTGATCAACATCACGAGTACCAATCTACACAACTGGGATACGATGACAGATGTCAACCAAGTCAGTGAGCCTGACCACCCAATCCTATTAGTCGCCTTTTACGACAAGCATGGGTTGCTGAAGACCAATTCTACCCGGACCTTCATGGCTCCATTAAACAAGGAAGTATGATGTTGCTATAACTAAAACCTGTATTTTTCTGCAGATGTGAATGTCATGAAATGTTTCTGACTTCAGTGAAGTTCCAGTGATGCTGAGCCGCGTGTCTCCGGCTGGTCTGGAGAGTTGCGGTACCAGCAACACCTTGTCCATGGTGATGCAGTACCTCCAGGAGAGCTACAGCGCCAAGTGCCAGACCACCATCACATGTGAACAGGCCGCAACTGATGGAAACACCTGCCTCAACGAAATTACTGCTAGCTCTTCCTGCGGGTGAGTTAAAATGTAGCATTTTGTCAGCCATTTGGCAACCCTGCATGTTTACTGCACCTTTCATCACACTGACGTCACTATGGTGTAGTGGATAGAGTGTTTGCCTGACTACCTCTGTGGCTGAGTGTTCTGTCCCATTGGCGAGGAAGGTCTGTGGTTCAGTCCCCACCATTGTTATACCAGAAGACATTAAAGGATGTATACATTGGTACACTGCCTGATGGGGGATTTCCTGAATTGTGGAATAGTATGTCATCTTCCCTTGGGAATAAAGAAATCCCAATCATTGACAATCTTTAAAAGCTGCCTAAAGACATATATCTTCCAAAGGTTCTATAAAGATTGAATTACCAATGAAAATATAGCATCTCTACTGCAGTGTACTTTAATACATACCTACTGTATGTACCTGCTGTATCGTGACACAAACTGTATGTACCTGCTGTATCGTGACACAAACTGTATGTACCTGCTGTATCGTGACACAAACTGTATGTACCTGCTGTATCGTGACACAAACTGTATGTACCTGCTGTATCGCGGACACAAACTGTATGTACCTGCTGTATCGTGACACAAACTGTATGTACCTGCTGTATCGTGACACAAACTGTATATACCTGCTGTATCGTGACACAAACTGTATGTACCTGCTGTCATCGTGACACAAACTGTATATACCTGCTGTATCGTGACACAAACTGTATATACCTGCTGTATCGTGACACAAACTGTATATACCTGCTGTATCGTGACACAAACTGTATATACCTGCTGTATGTCACAAACCAGGCCAAAAATTCGTGACACAAACTGTATCGCGGACACAACCAGCACCTGCTGTATCGTGACACAAACTGTATATACCTGCTGTATCGTGACACAAACTGTATATACCTGCTGTATCGTGACACAAACTGTATGTACCTGCTGTATCACAAACTGTATATACCTGACACAAAACTGTATATACCTGCTGTATGTCATTGACACAAACTGTATGTACCTGCTGTATCATTGACACAAACTGTATGTACCTGCTGTATCGTGACACAAACTGTATGTACCTGCTGTATCGTGACACAAACTGTATGTACCTGCTGTATCGTGACACAAACTGTATGTACCTGCTGTATCAGGACACATTCAGTTACCTGTATTTATGTGACATAACTGTATGTATTTACAGGGATCTCAAGCAAGTGCAAGCTTGTCTGGGCAAGGCTATAGGACAATGCAGCAACACCTCTGATACTTTGATGACAACATTCAGATCCAAGCTTGCCAACATGACAGCAACATGTATACGCTTGCCGGTCATCAGTGTAAGTATTTCATGACAAATACATTATCAGTATTACTGTTGCAGATGTTTTCTTTATTTAAACTTATTTTGTCATGATCATAATAACTTATTGTCACAAATCTTACTGCTTCCCATGTCAAATACATTAGTCATTATTGTCCTTGAATTCTGAAAAAAATTCTTTTAAATATTTTGAATCTTTTTAATCTAAACAGATTAAATACAGAATAAGTTAAAGTTATTATGGATGAGGACTTGTCAAGACTGTTGTATATATTGGCATGTTTCCCAGCATTCCTTGAGCACCGACAACACGATCTACCTGGCAGAAGGCGGACCATCAGTCAAACTGACTCTGGGGGCTCTTGACTTTACAGACGCTTTATCAGCTAATGGTGAAATCAGACTCACGATCAAGTTTGACTCGGCAACTCCCAGCAGCGTTCCAAGGTGAGAATGTTCAGCAGTTGCACATCAGATAAACTTGGGGGGAAAATGTCCTGAATGCATCTTGTGCAACAGTAAACAGGCATATGCATTCAGAACCTTTCCTGCAGTTTTGTGAAGGGGTAAGTGGAGCTCACAACTCAACTCATCCAGCATCACTTGTGCACAAACCTCTACAATTTGGCAGTAGTATAGACAATGGGGGTACTGGACCACCTGCCATTATTAACTGTTTTCACCCCAGTTTGTCTCCTACAGCCCTAACATAAAACAGGATAAATTTGATGGAACATCATACTCGGCTGTGTGGATAATACAGGCTGAGGGCAGCGTTTAAAATTCCCGCCTGCCCGACCGTCTGGAACAGTCTATTTTCATCTCGGACGGTCAAATTTCAAAAGTAGACTGTCCGGTGGTCTGGTAGATATTTTTACCCCTAGGGTATATATTTCATTATATCAGACAGGTTCTCGTGTCTTCAGTTTGAGGTGTTTAAAGTATTATGAACATTATGTTAAACAACATACGATTGTACAGTTCATGTTACGATAACCAATCACAATCATGTACTTTCAGTTTACCTAAACTCGGTGCATTGCCTGTTAGTGCTATGTAGTTCATTGCGATGCCTACAAACAGTGAATGGAGCTTGTGCGAGTTGGAAATGACAGTCAGTTTTTATTGTTGAAAACCGGATAGGCTAGTTTGTATCTGGACTGGTAATTGCTGAGGGTTACCAGTCCGGCTGTCTTCTTGGAATTTTGGGAGTTTTAAATACTGCAGAGGGACTGGGGTTTTCTCAAGCGTGGATAACATCAGGTTGACAGTGTTGTGACCTGACGACTCAACAGTCACTCAACCAAAGCACTCCAACTGTCACTTACTGATCGGGGAGCAGGAAATGTCGTTGTCATGGCAATGATTTCAGCATGGCGTCCTCTCCAGGATGTGGGGCACTGTAATAACAATATCAACAATTCTACATCCACCATCTACCCGTGCAGATCCGGGTTAGAATTGGTTTCAGTAACCCATGCTTGTCATAAGAGGCGACTAATGGGATCGGGTGGTTAGGCTTGCTGTCTTGGTTGACACATGTCATTGTGTCCCAGTTGCACAGATTGATGCTCATGAGTTGATCACTGGATCATCTTGTCCAGACTTCATTATTTACAGACCATTGCCATATAGCTGGAATATTGCTGAGTGCGGCATTAAACAACAAACAAACATCCCCCATCTTTCCCTTCCCATGCCTCCTTCTCAGGAAATATGCTGACCTGCTCGCATTTGTGATCTTAGTGCTACGATGATAGTAACTCCCACACTATAGCACAGACCTAAGATAATCATAGCACTAAAACACTTTGTGCAAGTGGGCCATGCTCACTGGTGCCAGGGTCCTGTCTGACTGATGGCTTGGTTATCGACATCAACAAGGAATGATATGGCTGGCTGCTCTATAATACAATGACTATTTCACAATGATGATGATTGATGATCCTACTGGGTACCCATTCACTGCTGAGTGATCAGAGGCATGCTCAGCAAAATGTCACCTTCCTAAAGAGCTACCATAGATACTAAAGCCCTAAAATACATTTGAGGTCAACCTGCCAATGGACACCCAATCAAACACACTTCAAGATTCAGCATTCATTGAAAATTTAGTCCATTTGAAATTTGGGATAAGACATCATTTCATGATAACTGGAAAACGTAAGGGATTATTCTTTTTACTATCATTATATGAAGTCAAGACAATCAGTGACACTACTTTCCTAATAAAAATTTATTGTTTTCAAACTTTTGCACAACTGCTTTGTTTCAGGTGCCCAAATGACAATGCAATCCCACAAGTTGCATCTGATACATGCCAGATCGTCTTTGACGCCTCCAACAATGCTGATGAGCAGAGTTTTGAGATATCAGCAGTGCTTGACAACATTGTGGACGGGTACCAGCAAGTCGAAGCAACAGTCACCATGGAGAGATTGGAAGGAAACCCACTGTCTGTTGTAGCGGACGAGACATTGGGTCCATTCAATGTAAGGAATATCAGCCATGTGCCCTGAGCTTGCATCAGTGGGTGAACACTGGCACTTTACAAATATCTCATGTTTTTTGCCCCATATACACTTCACAAATTTCTAAAAGTACAATACTTTTAATATGTAGAAGGAATATTACTTTGACTGGTGATTTTATTTTTGTTTATTTTCCCTCCTGCCTTTAGGTTTTCTGAGGACAAACATCCGTTAAACGAGAAATATAATTGGTCTGGCCTTATCAGTTTTGTCACATGATAATCTAAGAAGCTCTCATAAAAATAAAATAGAGATGTTATACCAAATTATCAAACAATACTTCAGATCATTTGCTGAAAATCTAATCATAATTTGATGTATTTCCTATCTTCAGGACTTTATATAAAACTTTGCTAAACTTAACAACTCATTTTTATCACTACTCGACATGATTCTAACAAAAGTGTCCATAGAAGGTCTGTTTCTTATGCTAGGATGAAACCATTCTATTCTTACAGCTTCCTAGCATTGACAAATCATTAAGACATGAAATTCATGTGTTGTTACAGATACAGGTGCAGGATCGTGACGGGAAGTCTGCAATCTGCTCCTCCATCAATGACCCCCATTTGACCACCTTTGACGGAAGGTCAGTCGATTGGGAGGGGAAACCTTTACATATTTACATATTCCAGTGACTGCTCAGTACTGTGTTGACCCAATCTCCCCTCATAGTTTGAAATCGCTATTATTGTTTTGTATTACAAGGGGTATGCACATTAAATGAAACACCGAGTATATGGTCTCTGACCGAGTACAAGTAGGGTTGGTCTAAGTTAACGCTCATCACGTACACACACGCGCTTTTGTTTCACTGTTCCAACTACTGCGCTTACCTACAGAAGCGTCCTAGTGCCACAGTCTGAATTTTTTTATCTCCTAATTAGGACTTAGCTATCTCCTAATTAGGTGATACTATCTCCTAATTAGGTGGTACTATCTCCTAATTAGGACTTATAATTAGCACATAGCTATCTCCTAATTGGGACTTGATATCTCTTAATTAGGATCTGTGGCACTAGGACACTTCCGTACTTACCCCTTGTAATACAAACCAATAATAGCAATTTGAATCTATGATCATTTGCTTAAAAACCTTTTATCCTAAGCTGAATAAAATTCTGAGATTTAAATGTTCAATTGGCAAGGTAAAATTATGAGGATTCACAATGTTAATTGCACTTTATTTGATTTACTTTTTTGTGTAAAGTGAAATTCATCAGTACGTTTTCACTGCAAACAGACTATAAACAGAACATATAAAAGTTGTTTCATGGAAAGTAGTCCAGTGTTATCATATATCTAGAATATAACTGCAATAACACACTTAAAGGCACAATGTCACGCCACATTTCTCTAAACATACACAATGCATTTCTCTGTATAATACTAACTATCAGCCCTCAGGGAATCTGCCATACAATTTATTCCCACCAAAAATTACGTATTTAGATTACAATATTAAATTAAAAAGTTCAAATGAATTAATGCAACGTTGCATTGAATCGATTCTCGCGCCCTTCTACCAGCGGAACATTATTTAAAGCAAACCCCATAGGGTTATATCCCTTGGAACGCCCTTTACGAATATCCTATAACGAAACTTGTGATTGAGGCCAGTTCGGCAAACACTGACAACACCGCGTGCGACAGTTTTCTATGTACGAGGCAATCATTTACATTCCTTATATGGCAAGTGTTATCTGTTTGGAAGCTGTTCGCCTCGAAGTTTCAATTAGCGATTTCAGGCAAGTCATAAAGTACAATAAGTCTTTTATTGCACCAATAGGAAGCTAAAGTGAGTGCATATACTCAATATGTAAAATATAGGCCCAAATATTGTGGAAAATGTGTAATTATTGTGCCTCTTAAATACATGATAACCATGTTCTGCTTCACAAACATTTTTTTTGTTTTTCAGGATGTATAATTATATGGGCACAGGCACCTTCCTGATGTACGAAAACAGTCTTAGCCGTGGTAACAGTCCTATCGATCTTCAGGTAACACCACATTGATTTGGTATATGTGACCTCTAAGGATTTACAGTTTTTATAAAACCCCATGGTGACTCCAGGGTCGAACTGGTCAGTTGCAACCGGTGCTCAGTTTTGGTAAGGGACAATGTCTATATAGTCAGACTGTAAATTTTGGTTTGTAACAATCTGCTGTAACCATATCTCTTAGCTGCTCCCTATAAACAATTTTGTTGCCAACTTATTGCTACATAGGACTACAGACTAGTCCGCAGATTTGGCAATAAATCCCCATCCAAACTTTCCTGTCCTTCCATATCTAACAACAAATGCAACAAAATTCACCTCCTAGGACATATTTCTTGAAACACAAGTACTCATTTTATGACTGTACAACAATATATGGACTTCCTGAAACATAGTGAGTCATTTTACGCTGCTTGTAGCAGTTTTCCAGAAATATCACCTCAGGGGACCCCAGAAATGGGCTTCACACATTGTACACATTGTACCCATGTGGGGAATCAAACCCGGTAACGAGCAAACACTTTGACCACTAGGCTACCCCCAACCTTATCAAAACATAACCAGTAAAGTCAGTTTATTCTTATTTTTTAAGTACCGGTACATAGAAAGTTTCGCAATGTAAACAGCATATATTTCCAGTGTTTAAAGGCACTGTCGCACGTGGTGATGTAGGTGTTTGCCTAACTGGTTGCAATCACAAGTTGTGAAAAAAATTATATAGCTTTCCTGAGGGCTGATAGTATTATTGCGTGAGTGAGTTTAGTTTTACGCCACACTCAGCAGTATTCCAGCTATATGGCGGCGGTCTATAAATAATCGGGTCTGGGCCATACAATCAAGTGCCTTTAAGGAGGTGAGTCTTCATGTTTATTCATTATAGCAGGGATGCAGATTTCTATACGTTGAAAACGCTCAGGGACAGTCATAGTTCTGTGTTGCAACAAGTCAATATCAGCCACTTATAGGGGGCAGCCCTGAGACACATTTACTGCAGCTAGTTGATGCCGTGATTCCTCAGCATTGATCCTGCCTTGCTCATACTGTCAATCACTGGTCTGTTTTTTGTTTGTCTTTTAACGCCGCACTCAGCAATTTTCAAGCTATATGGCGGTAGTCTGTAAAAAATCGAGTCATGACCAGACAATCCAGTGATCAACAACATGAGCATCGATCTCTGCAACTGGGAACCGATGACGTGTCAATGAAGTCAGCAAGCCTGACCACCCAATCCGGTTAGTCGCCTCTTACGACAAGCATGGGCTACTGAAGGCCAATATTCTAACCCGGACCTTCACGGGTGCTACGCAATAGGGAGACATGACACGTTTCGACCTTTGTCAGCAAGCCTGACCTCCCAATCCCGTTAGTCACCTCTTATGACAAGCATGGGTTACTGAAGACCAATTCTAACCTGGATCTTCATGGGTCCACTGGTTTGTGTTTGAGACCGATTATATTTCGGTGCAGTGTGGCTATGCCAAAGCTCGTCTCATCCTCTGTCCGTAGGTTCAGACCAAGTTCCAGACTTGTGGCAACAGTGGGAGCTGTAACTGCGCCGTTTACATCGTCGTCGACAATGATGTCATCGTGTTTGATATCTGCGGAAACTCTGGCGTATTCAACCCACTCAAAGTGGACATCAAGATACGTGGCGAGATGAGTGATGCAGTGAAGATCATGATGTCTGCTGACCACAAGACATACCAGGTGCGTTTAACACTAGGGAACAGGGTGTAGGTTATATAGGAAGTTCAACTCTTTGGTTTAGAATGGGAGGAAGACTGAAATAATGTAAGTTTTCATGTAAGTTAACCATGGACACGGGTATGGTGCTGACAAACCATTGATCAGGACAGAACTGGGACTTGAACCCATGGTCTTGGCCCACTGGGTATGTTCCAGAGAAACAGAAAGATGGTTGCATGAAATGCTAGCAGGAAGATTTGAGAATAACTCATTTTGGGCAACAAATGTAAAATCAGTTTAACTGACTTCAATTTCTTGGAAACATGTAACGAGATGATTTGGTCCTGTACTTCATGAACAGGCTTAGTATATTTTTAGAGCACCTGCAGATGATCTCCAATTTTATCCTGTTTTTTGGCTGATTTAGACTCCACTCCACTCCACTCCACCAAACCCACCAAAACATCAGACATAACATACACAAGTGGTATATTGAGTAGTTATTACCATTGTTTCCTGGTGTATATTTCAGGTTGTCATAGCAACAGGCCAAATTGTGAAAGTTCGAGAAAGTAATGGCCACCTGAACGCATGGATCCTGGCCTCAGCCAGTGATAGAGGCAACACGAGAGGTAGGCTGCTTGTGTTACACATGGATACTGGCCTAAGCCAGTGATAGGGGCAACGTCATGGTGATGGTAAACGATAACATCACCAATCAGCTTCCTAAGACAGATATCACTTGCTTACCAGTTGATGCGGGGTAGTTGGGCAGCCTGGTGGTTAAAGTGTTGCCTTGTCACCCCACATGGGTACATTGTGTAGAAACCCATTTCTGGTGTCTTCTGCCATGATATTGCTGGAATAGTGCTAAAAGCTGTATAAAAATCTCACTCCAGTGGATACCAGTTAGAGTCAATTCTTTTGACACTGTTATGGTCAGAATTCTTCAAATACAATTGCTGTTTGTGGATGGAGACTTGATGAGTAAGTTAGCATACAAATGGTCACTCCCTGCAGTGACTGTCTCACTGATTCGTTGATTGACATTGTACATCTCTTGTAGGACTGTGTGGAATGTTTGACGGAGACCGGTACAATGACCTTACCCAGCCTGATGGCTCCATGTATGAGATTACAGACGCAGACATGGCGTGTACGGCACTCTGACACCAGATAACTACACCCGTCAGTGGAGGTGAGTCACAAACCTTGTACCCTTAGTGTAATACGGTGCTCTGACACCAGATAACTACACCCGCCAGTGGAGGTGAGTTTTACTTGTCTGACTTGGGTAGTTGCGTTAAACTAGGACATTGTACATCAGTGGTTGATGACGATAAGAGTGGAATGAGTTGGGACAAGTACAAGCAACCACACACATGCGTTTACATCTCTGTATAAGCACAATGATCTTCAGAATAAAATTATACCTCATTTCACCTCAAATGGATCTTTCCATTGCATTGACACTGCCAGCTGTTATTATGACGGCACACTCAAGTTTGTTTAACAGTCAGTAATTAGGCTATATCTTTTGAAATAAGTCTGATAGTCATTAGGGATGAAACAGGACGCTCCTACCATGGTTCGGTATGTATTGCGGTACAAGGCCTTCGGTCCGTTTCAGTTCGGTAGATGAGATATGATCATAATGCAGAAAATTGACAAGAGCCAAACCTTATATTGTTTCATAACAAAAAATATAATCATAATCTTTGTTATTTTGAATTCACACAACTGTCATTTTATGATGAGAAATGACGGCACGAAGATACCAAATGTTTGGATTGCATTACAGTGTATTGAACCGAAGGCAAAATACTGTGGTTCTACTAACTCTGTGGTATACTTTTTCACCCCTAAAAGTCATCAGTAACCCTTTTATCAATGCAGACTCAAAATCCCAGTAACTGGTCGTGACCACCATGAGCCCTGTATCTTAAACTAAACAGTTGATAACAAAACATTGGGTGTATCATAGGGCTTATTGTTTGATGTTTAATGCCCAGCTAGACAGTCTAGTGGCTAATATCACTACCATCAATCTCATGATACTGGTATGTATCAATTGGGTCGGTGAGTCTGACCTCTCTTTCACACAGTATCCTGTTGTGACAAGCATGGTTGACCTTGCTGTTTTGTCTGTACAGAGTCGTTGCTGGATCTGAGGACGACATCAGCAACGGTGTCCAGGGAGATGTCAACGACACCGCTTTACCAAACACTTGTCAGTGTGGTTCCAGTGTGACATGTGACCGGTTCGCACGCTGCGCAGAGACTTGTGGCCTGATCAGAAGTTAGTATATATGTACCATGGCATGTGGCTTTGAGTGTATGCAAGTGTGTTAGTTGAGTTAAATGGTGGTTTAAACTTTATTGCAGCTATCACGGATTGTTAGCTAGGTGTTGGCAGAAAGCAGACTAATGCTGGATGGATACCATAGAAGTGCAACTCTGCAAAGCAAATGTTTACATCAAGTACATGTTATTAGTATAAGCTTCACCAGGAGAAGGTCTGATTTGTGGTAGGACTAAACTATGGGATGGTTCCCCGTCTCCAAGGCATGCAGTCAGTCAGTGTAGCTTGTGTGTTTTATGTGTCTGCAGCTGGCGCCATAGACATCACCAGTCAGTTGGTGGCCATGAGTCGCCAAGCCGAGCCCATCGTTGGCAAGCGGAGGAGGAAGAGACAGGCCGAGACAGAACCAGAGACTTCTGGTGATTCACCTGTAAGTACACCTGTATGTACACCTGTATGTACACCTGGTGTATCTCACTATCATGTCCTCTTGACCTCACATGCACTGGGGTAGCCCAGTGGTTAAAGCATTTGCTCGTTTCCTCACATGGTACAATGTGTGAAGCCCATTTCTGGTGTCCCCCGCTGTGATACTGCTGGAATATTGCTAAAAGCAGCCTAAAACCATACTCACTCACTGTGTATATTGTCATACTCAGGAACCCTGCCACTTGAAACAATCATTGCGATTATGAATTAATTTCTAAAAATGCAGTTTACTTTTCAACAAATATCCATTTGACTGGGCATAGAGTTTCATTATCATTGTGTTCTGACCACGCTACTTTTCAAGTAAGCACTCAGGTCACTCCGAGCCATTATGTTGGTCACAGACAAAGATATGTACATTGCCAGAGTCAATCCTATGAAGTAATCTGCTATAACAGTTTACATACCTCCAAACACTCATTTGAGCGTAAATTTGTGTACCCGGTAGTAATGGTACTGTGTATATGTATAAACTTGGTCTAGTTGCTATATGGCTGAAACAATGTCGATGCAAAGTTAAATTTTCCTTCAGTCACTCAGTTTGTTAGATGTTCCATGGTTCAATGTATCCAGGAACTATTTATGGAGCGCCTTTGTTTCATACCCAGTACATGTTGTATTGCAGCAGCCAGGATGGCCCACATCCACTGGATGGACAGAGCAGAACGCCACCGACTTCTGTCAGCAGAAGATCAGTGATGCTCTGCTGAATCAGAAGTGTAGTCAAGCAGCCGAGGTGACCAACAACACCGTGGACATTGAGCAGAACATCCGGAACTGTGTGGACGATATCAGAGTGAGCACTCCTCATGTAGTCTTACCATGTTAAAGTGGAACCCAAATAGTATGATAGTGGAATATATTTGTCTTCATATAATAAGCCTACTATACCCTTAAAAAGAAGTAGGGGAACCTGGACGTTCAAGTTGGATAGGAAGTATAAGTGTTAACAAACCTTTCAAAGACAGAGATCTTATGAATGCACCAAAATTTCTCTTTATCACCACCCCTAAAAACAATGCATGGGATGCACGTGCACAACGCAGCAGCCCCATACTCAAGTCACTCAAACACTCACACAGTTGTTCATGTTTGTTTCTTTTGTTTGAAAATGAAAATCACACACATGCAAATTTCACCAATCATCTTTCAAGAGCGATTACTGTTCAAACAACTATGGTCAGAAGGAAGTGCAAGAGGTGATGATGCACTCTCAAAACATTCATTACTATAATATCAACATTGATTGACTCTGATATATCTCCCAATTTTTTCAATTGTAAATTAAAAATGAAGATCCCATACTTTTTTTAAAAGTATACTTTTATAGTTTTACAATGATAGTTCCCCCAAGAATAAGCCCACCACTTAAATGCTTAGCGTCTACGGTTAGTTCCCTGCTCTCACACTATGATCAAATTACTGCCCATGCTGTTTCACAGATGACAGGGACGACAGACTTTGTGGTCGAGACCAATGAAGACCTGAAGGAGACTTGCATCAGCGGCATCGAGAAGCACCCCATTTTCCAGACGGACACCCAGGCCCGAGAGATTGCAGCAGAAATCATGAACTTGGCCTGTACCCCTATCGACTGTAATGGCAACGGCAGATGTGAAGGAGGTGATTACGCTGTTGTTACTTGTTGTTACTTGTTGTCTTGTGGTATCTGTTACCTTTCTTCATCAGTGTGACTTGTACTTTAACTTCATCACGATGTTTGTTTGTTAGTTTTTTAAAGCCGCACTCAGCAATATTCCAGCTATATCGCGATAGTCTGTATATACATGAGTCTGGACCAGACATTCCAGTGATAAACTGCATGAGTGTCAATTTTTACAATTGGGATACATTGATATTTGTCAACCAAGTCAGCAAGCCTGACCACCCAATCCCATTAGTCACCTCTTATGACAAGATGGGTTGCTGAAGACAAATTCTATCCCAGATTTGAGTGAGTGAGTGAGTTTAGTATTATGCCACATTTAGCAATATGTGGACTTCAGTGTCCATGTTAGGAATCAAAGTCAGTCCTTCAGAAAAACAAGGGAACACTTCTACCACTGGCCTAGCCTACTTCCCTTACTTGACTGCAACTGTAATTAATTGTTGTTTAACACCAAACCACACTCATGAATAAGAAAACACTCAGTAATTTGTCAAGTCTGGACCAGACAATCCAGTGATTGGCATCATGAACATCTGCAGCTGGAAATAGCAGCTTATGTTTGTCTATGACTGTACCTGTCTCTGTACCTGTCTCTGTATCTGCCAGGAATCTGCCTCTGCAACTCTGGCTTCCTCGGTACCGACTGTTCCATCAACAAGCAACACTTGCAGCCACCCATCCTCCATGGACTAGAACACTTCGGACTCTGTGAGTTCTCCAACACTCAGGCCTGCACAGACATCTTCGTCTCTGGACGCAACTTCGTGGAGTCTGAGCTCCTGAAATGTCACATTGAGATCGTGGAGGTAAGACACCAAGGAATCATAGATTCTAACAATGGAAGACTCTGATATCAGTGGACTCTGAAGTCTCTAAGAACCTAAGACCATCCAGTGTCTTACTTAAGGTTGCTCTCAGAAACATCAGTTATCAGGGCCAATTTTCTTTAACTAGTCATAGTTCAATAGTTCATAATAGGCTGTGTTAAGTAAATTGAGTCTGTATGTGGCATAAAATTGTTTATGTTTAGGCCATTATACAGGACAAGTATAGGAATACTGACTCTTACACACATTTCCTTGGTCATGTATAGAAGCATACTGAACAGAAGAAAGCAAAGCATTACAAATGTGCAGTTCCAGGGGAACCCCATCATGTTACGGGTATTTGGTGGTAATTTGAGGGTCCTGTAAAGCATTGAAATGGTGTGGTGTAGTGTAGTGTATAGGGCTGGGACAATTCACCGATACATCGCGATACATTTAAGTTTGATACAGCTATCGTATCGTCGACTGGTGTATCGATACAAAACGATATATGACTTTTTTTCAAAATAGTATTATCTTAAACATGATAAAGTACATATTTAGAGAAAAATATGCAAGTATGATAGAGTTACTTATTTGTTTATTCCAAAAGTGTTATTGTTATACACAAATACCTTGAAATACATCATTTTACATCTTAATTCTGTGTCATTCTTCCAAGGTGTATGTATCGTGATACGTATCGTATCGCAGGTAAAATATCGCTATATGTATCGTATCGTGACATAGTGTATCATCCCAGCCCTAGTACTGTATGTTCAGATAATGACTTCAGACCCTGGAATGAATCAGTGGTCATGTGGACAGTGAGCATGACTGATGGGTGAAATAACAGACACAAACTACTCTTGATGCACTGTAGGTATGCTCTTGGTATTCTTGTGCATATCTCTGGATGCGATGTTTCTGGTTTTCTGCTTTTATTCTTTATATCTTTGTGTGAGTAAGTGAGTGAATTTAGTTGGTCTAAACACCAACTGGGCTTCACACATTGTACTCATGTGGGCAATTGAACCTGTGTCTTCAGCATGACGGGCGAGCGCTTTAACCACTAGGCTACCCCACCGCCCATGGTATTTACTTATGAGGATGTTTTTATGAAATCGTATGCTCAGTTTTCACTATGTCCCAAAAATATCTGTGATTCCCAACTTGTTTTGTTCAGTATATTTACCTTCCCACTTACTGGAAAGTACTTTATGCCGCTTTTGGCAATATTCCAGCAACATCCCAGTGGGGGACACCAGAAATGGGCTTCTCACATTGTACCATGTGGGGATTCGTACCTGGGTCTTCGACGTGACGAGCCAACGCTTTAACCACTAGGCTACCCCACCCCCCCTATTCACAAGGACACACCGTCCAAAGATACATAGTATTCAAATAGTGGTTCCTCGTCCCACCCACTAGTGGTAATCTCAGAGGTAAGATATGTTTTGGGGGATTACAATGAAGAAATATTAGATGCGATGAGATCTTTGACTTGAACAAGTTATAATGTGTTCCCTTTTTTCACACCTTCAGATCAACGAGAACGGATTCACCCGTGTGCCTGGAAACATGGCCATCATGACATCTGCCGGGCTGGTTACCGAGACAACAGTCCGCTGTACCATCTCAGCCGTCAGGGGAACTAACTTAGCAGCTCTTGTTGCCATTAGCAACGATGGTGTGTCCCAGAGTCAGAAGGAGGTGTTCATCGCCTACGACCCCACATGTCAACAATGTGATCACATCGCCAGGAAGTGTTACAATCAGGTGAGGTCACGTTGCCAGGGAGTGTTACCATCAGGTGAGGTCACGTTGATAGGGAGTGTTACCATCAGGTGAGGTCACGTTGCTAGGGAGTGATACCATCAGGTGAGGTCATGTTGCTGAGGACAGTACCACTAGGTGAGGTCACATTCCTAGGGAGCGTTACCATCAGGTGAGGTCATGTCACCTGGAAGTGTCACCATGAAGGGTAAAGTCCAACAGGAGAAATTGTATGAAATTATTAAAATCTAAATATTTTAGATATTTAAATACTTACCTTACCTCAAGGTAATGTGCATATTACTACATACCAGTTATTATCTGGACTATCGTTTTGTGCCCCAGCAGCCGTCAAAAGTGTAACCTATTTGTTTACCACTCCGCTCAGGACAACACCTGTAACATTGGTGGACAGTGCTACACCGCTGACGCCGTGTCTGCCAACAACACCTGTGTTTCCTGTCAACCCATGGTCAGCAAAACTCAGTGGACAACAATTGATGGTGAGTCAACATCTATATCTGACTCAAGAACGTAAACTACCTCCCCTAGCACAGGGCCCATCACCCAATTAATTAAATAGCTTAGCTCCAAACATCTTCAATAGCTAGAATTACAACCTATAAAGATTTGGGTTAAACTTTGTGTAGCTGATATGTCTGGAGGTAAGATGATTATGATAAATGGCAACTAAAGGGATCGGGTGGCCTGGTTTACTGTCTTGGTTGATGCATGTCATCATATCCCAGTTACATTATAAGGTGTTCACTGGTCTCGAGGGGGACATGGGCTGATGTACCCTTGATGTTTCTTTATGTTCCCTGAGCCCGAACATCAAGGGTACATCATCCCATGGGCCCCGAGGGACCAGTGAACATGGACATGTTTGAAGCATGGATATCAGATCATGGTATGGAGTATCAGTCAAGAAAAACAAATTTAGAGTTATCTCCCTTCCATCTATTTGTATTTGCAAAACATTGGTAATTTCCGTACATCTTACACGATTCAATGTTATTCGAGATAAAGAATTACTACTACGAAGTACCAAATGAGTTCGGCATTCCCAGCGGGGTACATTGAAAATAATAGAAGAGTGCTCAGCCAATCAGAAAACGACATTTATGTGTGAGGCAAGATAAACATTGATGCTCATGATGTCAATCACTTGATTGTATAGTCCAGACTTGAATATTTACGGATAGCTGGAAAATTGCAGAGTGAAACATACAAACATGTAGCGTCACACAATACCCCGGATATATGAACAGTGACATTTTTCACGAACAGTGGATTGAGTATTCATTGGCCACAATGGAGGGCGAGCACTGTGAGTTCATGGTCTTCCTTACAATATGGATTTGTGATTATAGTACTCCAGTACATGCCTTCTCACAATGGCTTCTGTGTGATACAGAATCACTTACACAATTCCCTTCCTGACCTGCCAGTGCTTGACAGGTAATCTCCCTCTTCCATGGCAGTGGGGTAGCCTAGTTGTTAAAGCAGTCAGTCATCATGCTGAAGACAAGGGTGCCGTTGGACAAAGCGATCTTAGCGCTAAGGTGATCGTAACTCCCATACCTTAACAGCGATCTTAGCTTAAAGGTGATCGTAATTCCCCATACCTTAACATAGACTTACAACTGTCGTAGACTTACAACTGTCAGGTGATCGTATTTCCCATACCTTAACATAGACTTACAACTGTCGTAGCGCTAAGGTGATCGTAACTCCCATACCTTAACAACTGATGTAGCGATAAGGTTGTTTTGTACAACAGCACCCACAGCACCCTTTAATAAGGTTAACCTTAACTCCCATTGTTTAACATTGCACTAAGGTTACCTTCTAAAGAGACTTACGATGATCTTAGTGCTTTGTGAAAGGAGGCCCTGGATTTGATTACCCACATGGGTACAATGTATGAAGCCCATTTCTAATATCCCTGTGGTAATATTGATAGAATATTGTGAAAGAAGCATAAAACTAAACTCACCTAAGCTACTTGAGATCTCCACTGGTATGACCCTCACCATCACCTCTATGTACCAGGAGTATAGACAAAGCTATAACCATTGCTACTGCAACTGAGGAGAACATTCTCCCACTCGAACTCAAGCCTTCACTGATTGAACTGAAACTCAAATTATAAGCTCAAGCCTATTGCATATGGAGTTATGCCACAGGTGAGGTGAGGTGAGGTGAGGTGAAATTGGGTTTAATGTCGTGCTGGAGAATATTTCGCTCATATGACAACGTCCAAGCGTGTGTATGTGTATGTGCGGCTGCTTGTACTAGCCCAGACTTAAGCTGTTTTTATAGTGCTAGCCCACTGAGATAGCATGCCGCAGTGAAGCATGAATACGCCACTCAGACATATTATACAGACTCCGAGCCGACCAGTCCTTATACCCATTAATGCCGAACGCCAGGCAGGGACCAACAAGTACCATATTTTAACGTCTTTTGGTATGACGCGGTTGGGGATCGAACCCTCGACCTTCCGCTCTCCGGGTGAACGCTCTAACCACTACACCATGGAGGGGGTCAGTTATGCGACAGGGTAGATGTTAAAGTGTTCGCTTGTCATGCCAAAGACCCAGGTTCAGTTCACCTCATGGGTACAATATGTGAAGCATATTTCTGTTGCTGGAATATTGCTAACTTTATGTATTGTTGTTGTTGTCCGCCCATGAAGGTCAGGTTTGTGTGGTTCCCAGTGTCAGGCTTTGTGCTCTGTGTTTCAGGAGAAGTGTGCAAGACGGATGCATCCCGCAAGGACAGCTCCTCCATTCTCGGCCTCAAAGAGACCATTGGCATCGGTGTTGCCTGTGCTGTCGTCCTCTTCATCTTGCTTGCAGTCATTGTGAAACTGGCCTGCATGAGACGGTAAAGTTTCTTTGATATTTCGCATTTTACACTCTGTCCATTTTGATATGTTTGGATATCTTTGAACAGCATTTCATTGAAGCTCATTTCTGGCATCCCCCCGCTGTAATGTTGCAGGAATATTGCCAGAAGAGACTTAAAAGTAAACTCACTCACACTGTTCCACATGTTTCCAGATCCCGTGCACAGCAGAAGCGCATGGACCGTGAGTGCTACCCACAGCAGCCGGAGATGTACGCCAACCCTGCATATCAGGGCAGCGAGGTTCATCTGTCCTCCTTCAATGGGGAGCCCCAGGACAGCTT